GTTTTTTTTGCTTGAGGTGGAGGGGAAACAACCTTCCATGCTCTCCAAACTGCAGCTCCTGCTTGGGAAATACTTCTAAACTTTGTGGTGTTGCCAATCCCTTTCTCCAAACTCAAGGATAACAGATTTTAATTTCACGTGTTCCAGCCACAGCCAGAGGCCTTACCCACTGGCAGGTGACAGGGACTAAAGAGGGGATGCCTCTGAATTTGAGGTCCCCGGTTGAAACGGGAGTAAAGAATGAGTAGAAGGTGGAGACCTTTGCTCTTTTACAACCCAGCAAATTTCGACGGGATGGGCAGAACTGATTTTAGGCAATGTATGTATGCCTCATCAAAAGTTTCTTTTCAACCTCCCTGCTATGAGTTAAGGTACAAACCCCATGCAGCCCAGTCGCCAACCAATGAAATACATGGGCTCCAAAGTTCCCTGGCAGACATTCGCTCCTACTAGTTGGGAAAAGAGGGGTGCTACTTCGGTTGCCAGGCGAGCGGGAAGCAAAGGGGGGCACGCTGGCATAGAGTGGGGGAAAGGGCGTGGAGTCTGTTCACTGCCAGTTGGCGTTTGGCACCAGAGCGCAAAGTGTGTCCCCTCCCCCGCCTCTACTTCCTTGGGCAGTTTGATTTCCCGCCACACTCGGTCGAAGTGGCCAGACAGTGCGGGCTCAAACTCCCGGGACAAGCGTGGGAAGAGTCACGGCCGAAAGCTTTCCTGACACGGCTTCCAACTGGGTGTGGGTCTCTGCGGCCGATAAACCGGCAAGACCGTGACGTCCGATGGCCCCAGGCAGATCTCGTCCCCAGATCCAGAACGTCGGAACAAGGCAGGGGTGCAGGCAGTGGAGGCGCACAGATTCCGAGGACAAACAGCCTCCAGGACACTCAGAACAACAAATTTTTTAAATTGACTGCTGACAGGCTGACGGAGTTTGTTTTAGTACTCAATACCCCGGGAACAAAATCCTTTTGAAAGGAAAGCTAAGTCGTTTCACGCCACCAAAGTGCAGATTTGGTGAAGAATGACTGATGGGACAATGCGGCGCAGAGTTAGCTTCAGTTCCCAGAGAGAGCCGAGAACTTGGGCACATGCGGGCGGTGGCCTGGGAAGGTGGGGGGCGGGCCCAGAGCACCCTGAAACCTCCAGTCGACGCTGTTCCAGCCCGTGACCTTCTCCCACCAGCAACACCCTACTGCCCTTTTGGTAGAGGATGGGAGAAGGAGAGGGGAGAAAGGGGCTAAGTGAAGCGGAGACTGGTCGTAGGAGAGGTAAAAGAGGGGAGACCAGCGGGGGGCGATGGAAGTGAGGGGCGTGGGAGACGCCTCACAGGGACAAAGAAGGGGTAAGCGGCAAAAGCAGGCTAAAGTTTAACGCTCCAGGCAAGTAAGTACCCAGTTCACTTTCCAAGTCGCAAGGCGGGCATTGCTTTTGGCGCCTAGGAAACCTTCAGAAGCTGCCGGGTACTTTGCCTCCACCTCCCGTCGGTGTTTGGTAAATATTAACAAACCCGAGTGCGTGACTTTCTGGAGTGTGGATGGAGGGGCTGGGCTGGCCCAGAAGTTTTCCTCTCCTAGGTTCCCCCGCCCCCAAACCCCAGCCCCACTGTACACACACACACACACACACACACACACACACACACACACACACACACACACACACACACACCTGCTTGACAACAGAAGGAATCAAAATCAATATTGTATTTGTCACCCCTCTGTCTCCTTTTTTACTCCCTGAGCAGCCCGGGTGCCACTGAAGCGAATTGTGGATTTATGGAGGGAAATTAGCATAAATTATTACGAAATCTGTAGCCGTGTGTGGTCCAGCTTGTGGGAAAAGGAGCTATTGCGAACTCTCCAAGCAGAAAGGTGGTCGGTGGCGGGCTCCGCGGAAGCCATGAATGGCTATTGCACCGAAGAGATTTCCATTTGGTTTGCACATGGGTATAATTGACTTATGTGCATTTTATACAGTTTTCCCAACAACTCCCTAAGCCTCTGGGTTGGATGTGCTCCCTCCCCAAAGCTGCTGTTTGCTTTGGGTTCTGTACAATAGACTCTGATGCACTTTTCAAGATTTCTGGAAAGTGCTCCTTCCCTCCTCTTCTTTGTAATACCAGTCTTAAAACGCTGTAAATAGCATGCAAATCTTCCTTCCCCTTCCCTGGGGCTTTGTAGATCTTCAGTAAGAACCAAGATGCAATTTTGTAGCAAAGTACGATTTTAAATGTGCAGCTCACTACTCTTTGGCAACCAAGGCAAAGTTGGGCGGTTCCGTTGGATTTCCTTAGTTAACTCCGGGTATGGGCAATGTGCCTTATCTCTTCAGCCTAGCCAAACTTTGAAGATTTCTCAGACACGAATTCCTACTCCTATCCTCACTAGCCCCAGGCTTGATGGTGACAACTTTCCCGAGGAAATAGGCAAAGATTTATGACAACTTTTTTTTTTTTAACTCAGACGTTTCCACTCTTAGAATTTAGTTAACTTCTGTTTACTCCAAGCAATGGTTTGGACAGCCATACAAAGGCCCTTTGCAAGGCAACAAAATGCCAATTGTTAAAACAAGAAAACATTTCTCTCTCCCCATCCCCCACCCTCAATACGCACACTCTCTAGGAAAGACTTCCTATCACTAGGAGGACAGAGATTTCTCACTCCTATCGTTCCACACCCTAAATCCAACCACTCTTAATATTTTATCTATGTTCCTAGATATCAGTATGCATGTATTTGCTAAGAAGATCCTAAAAATCCTTGGGGACTTGAATGCTGGTACCTCTCCTTCCAAGGGGCGCTCTCGCCTCTCCCACAGAAGCACTCTGTTTTGGACTTTTGAGGCCAGCTGTCTTCTGTAGCAGGAAAGCTGTGGACCGACGCCTTTCCGTCTGGGAAACACAAGCCCTCTCTACTATTCTTCATCAGGAGTCCCTCAGGCTCTAGGGCGCCCCAGCTCCTCCCATCCGGAACCCTTAAGCCTAACCGGGGCACACGAAGAACAAGTGCTCCCCACCCCTGCCCGAAACCCTGCACCTCTCTAGGGGCTGAGGCGCGCGAAGCTCTGGCATGTACCGCTGCCTCCCACAGAAGCTGGGCAGAGGTCGCACCTGGGTCCGACTGGTTATATGCGGAGGTTTGTCTGCCCTTCTTGAGCCCCCAGAGGCAGGTCAGCGTCCCTCTTCCACCCCCTCGCACCCACCACCTCCTCCTGCTGGTTATTTTTTCCGAATTAAGAAGGTGACATTCTTTTCTTCAAGCACTTCTGTTAATATTGAAAAACGTGCGCTTGCATCTCAAGCGAGGCAGCCCAGACGCGAGAGCCATTTCAATATTAATGAAATTGTTTAATCTCCTAAATTCACCGTGTTTAAGTTATGTTTTGGTGAGTTATTGACCACCTCCGAAACTGGTTAATGGAGGGAGGGGTGTGTGTATGTGCGCGCGCGTACTGACAGATTTTTATGCTAACTCCAAGCAGCTCCACTAATAATGCTTTAGTATCACTAAAAGGGTTTGAACTTCACACCCAGACCTTTACCACCACCACTACCTCCTCCTCCTGTTGAAAATAAAAAAGAAATCCTCACTTTTCCGAACTGCAGATGACTCACAGTAGCTGTAGGTACTGAGTTTTTAACAACACGGTAAAGGGTTTTTTATAAAACTATGAAGGTCGGAGAATTTGCAAAAACCAGTGGGAACTCCTAGCCTCTATTCCTAGACTGCGCTCATACAGGCGGGGTTGACTCACCATTTCGTAGCAATTTTATGACAACAACGATAATAACAATAACAATAATTATAATTCATAGAACCTCCCCAGACAAATCCCAACCGAACGGAACCTGCCGTCCACACCAGGCAGGGTGACCTCTAGGCACTTACCCATCCCCCACCCCACCCCATCCTCTCCTCTCCACCAAAAAAGGAAAACTCGCTGGTTCTTTGCAAGCCCAAAAGATATTGATATTTTAGTGGGGCAGAAAGCAGCTTTTCCTGGCTAAATCCTACGTTGCCTGCACGCCCCTCCAAAAAAAAAAAAAGTTGGGGGGGGGCGGGCGAAGGGGGTGGGTGGAGTTCCGGCTGTAAAATGCAAACTTGCTAGGCAATGCCTAACTCCTAACGTTTCAAACCACCTGGGGAAAGCGAGCGACCGTGCGGTTCATCTGGTGACAAAGTGTGTCAAACAAACACGGGCCCTCCCTGGGTTCGCACACCATCTGAACCAACAGCTGGAGAACCTTTATACTGTGTCTAATCAAATTCGTCGAGGACTTTTAAAGTGAAGACCTTCCCTACTCGCCCAGGTACACTATATTTTTTTAATGGAGCCAATACACCTAACATTCAAAGTGGGCTCTCACTCAGGGCTCTCCAGTTATATTTGTTAAGTATTTTTAAAATCACATCACTTTAAGCTACACACCCACTGTGCAGAGCTAGGACAGCAGCCTAAAAGGTCAAATCAAACTTTGACCTAAATCTCGGGGGACACGGTGGGGAGGGTGTATTTTCATTAAAATAACCCATGCAACCAGCCCCGGGTAATGCCCAGAGCAGTAAAGGGTCTGCTTCACGGCAAAGCCGGGCCTGAAGTTAGCAAACAATACAAACCCGATACAATGCAGAGGAAACAGAATATCCCAGCCAAACAATTTCCATGTCAAATATCATCTGCGCGGCAGCTCGGTGTGTGAACGTGAGTGGTCGCCTGAATCCCTGCTCCGCGGCCGCCGCCTCCTCATACCTTCACACCGCACACCCTGGCCGGCGCGTCCCGCTCCCCGCCGGTAGCCGTGGCTCTTCCCCCTCGCCCAGTCTTGAGCTGGAAGTGATTCCTATTGGCCAAGGTGTCCATGTAAATAGGTGTGAAAGAAACAAGAGCTGGCCAGGCTCTCCCCTCTCACTCAGTCCCCTCCCTCTGCAGTCCCCGCTCCCCCTCCTCTTCCTCCTCCTCCCAAGGCGATTGTCATATGATAGCTAAGAAGTGGCACATTAATGAAGCGCCGCTACAGGGGTCTTTTCTGCTCCTGTCACCGCTTAAAACTATCAGATGGTTCGAGGGAGGACATGGAGGCAGCCACCTAGCTCAACGGAACCACGGAGCCCACAGCTGCGCCCTCCGGAGACCCGAGGCCGCCGCTGCCTCAGTCCGCATCGGGGCTCCGCAGCCGAGCTCCCCAGCCAGCGGACCGCGCGGCGCTGGGCGCTGCGGGGCTGAGCTGCGGAACTCAGAAAAGTGCAGAGCCCAGCCGAGCTGGGACACTGAGCCGGGAGGGACGCGGCGAGCAGCAGCGCCATCCCGGATGCAGACGCTCAACTTGGAGCAACTTTAAGGTGAGCCGCTCTCTGTTGCATTCCTGCCCCGGTCCCCGTTCCAGGTCTGACTTCCCCGTTACTCTCGCGCAGCTCGCAGGCTCCCCCACCCGCAGCCTCTGCACGCAAAGTTGCTGGCCAAAGAGCGAGGAAATCCGCGGATCCAGCGCCGCAGCCCCTACCCGCCACCCCCAAACTCAGTACTTGGCCCGCAGACCTCGCGGTGTGTGTCTGTGCATCCATGCCCTCTCCATTATGTTTTCCCCCTTCCCAGATCCCAGCAGCCGCCGGCCCGCGCGGACCCAGAACAAGAAGGGGGCAAACAGGAAGATGCCTCGGCCCGGCCGCAACACGTACAGCGACCAGAAGCCGCCCTACTCGTACATCTCGCTGACCGCCATGGCCATCCAGAGCTCGCCTGAGAAGATGCTGCCGTTGAGCGAAATATACAAGTTCATCATGGACCGCTTTCCCTACTACCGGGAGAACACGCAGCGCTGGCAGAACAGCCTGCGCCACAATCTCTCCTTCAACGACTGCTTCATCAAGATCCCGAGGAGGCCAGACCAGCCGGGCAAGGGCAGCTTCTGGGCGCTGCACCCCAGCTGCGGGGACATGTTTGAGAACGGCAGCTTCCTGCGGCGTCGCAAACGCTTCAAGGTGCTCAAGTCAGACCACCTGGCGCCCAGCAAGCCAGCCGACGCTGCGCAGTATCTGCAGCAGCAGGCCAAGCTGCGCCTCAGCGCGCTCGCGGCCTCCGGCACGCACCTGCCGCAGATGCCTGCTGCCGCCTACAACCTGGGTGGCGTGGCGCAGCCCTCGGGCTTCAAGCACCCCTTCGCCATCGAGAATATCATCGCGCGCGAGTACAAGATGCCTGGGGGGCTGGCCTTCTCCGCCATGCAGCCCGTGCCTGCCGCCTACCCGCTCCCCAACCAGTTGACTACCATGGGCAGCTCGCTGGGCACTGGCTGGCCCCATGTGTACGGTTCCGCAGGCATGATCGATTCGGCCGCCCCCATCTCAATGGCTAGTGGCGATTACAGCGCCTACGGGGTGCCGTTGAAGCCACTGTGCCATGCAGCAGGCCAGACGCTGCCCGCCATCCCGGTGCCGATCAAGCCCACGCCGGCCGCAGTGCCCGCGCTGCCCGCGTTGCCTGCACCCATCCCCACCTTGCTCTCGAACTCGCCGCCCTCGCTCAGCCCCACGTCCTCGCAAACAGCCACCAGCCAAAGCAGCCCCGCCACTCCCAGCGAAACGCTCACCAGCCCGGCCTCCGCCCTTCACTCGGTGGCGGTGCACTGACCCGCCTCTGGCTCCCCTCCCCGCCAGCTCACTCGCCCTCCCTGGCTCCCAGTCCTGCCATCCCTAACCTGGGACCGCCACCCTAACTTGTCCATTTCACCTTCGGCCAACCCTCTCTTCCCTGTGAGAACTTTGTTTGGACCCAGGGGATAAAACGCAAACTTAGAGATGGGCCGGGGGGGCGCGTGGGAGTTGTCCTCGCCCCTACAAGAGGAGAAGACAAGAGGGCACCTGAGCCAAACCGTCCCATCTCCGAGGTCCCCGAAACCCCCTTCCATTTAAGAGGCAGGGAAAATCCTGTTTCCCGCTTTCACGCAGAGGAGAGCGTCTTTCCTCGGCGGAGATCGGCGGGGCAGTTAGTTCCAAGAACAGAAAAACCGCCCCAGACGTGTCCTCGCACAGCTCTGGAAGGAGGGCTGCCCCAGCACATCTCAGTGCCACATCTCTGCTTACGTCTCAGAAATCTTCCGCGAGAAGGGACCACTAATCTTCCTACCCCATTCTCCTCCTCCCGACCGGTAGGGGCTGGGCGGACCACAGCTTCGCTGAGCAGCGGCCCTGCCTCCGGCTTCTGCGGAGTTTTGTTTTGTTTCGTTTCGTTTCGTTTTGGGTTTTGTTTCCTGCCAGAGTCTCCAGGCACTGAAATTAGGAGAGAGGCTGCCAAATGGGGAAGGGGCCGCTTGTGCTCAACACAGGCAAAACAAAACTAAAAGTAACCTTGTATTGTTTACAAAGCGCCCTGTAAAATGTAAACGGTGAACTTGAATCTGTATTGCTTGGCGGGCGAGCGGGCAAAGCCCACTTTACAAGTACCTGTTGTAATGTGAATGTTTACTCCATTTCTGGCCAGGTTTAGGGGAGGGGAGGGACGGGAGGGGAAAGTTAATTGGGATGTTGACTTTCCGATTACTTAGAGACATTTTTAGCTATTTATTTTATTGTTGGAAGGGGGAAAAAAAGGAAAATGAAATGAGCCCAAACTAAGAAAGCATCAAGGGCAACCCTAGAAGAACTTAGATAAGCTGACTGGTAACACGAAGGAGATGTCACGGGATAGGTGTCCCACGGGCAAGTCTTTCTGTTTGCTACAAGAACTTTTCCAAGAAGCTAAAGGGCTGCAAAGAGATGTAAATGCTTGTGAATAGGAATGATTATACACTGTGTAAAATGCACTTTTGTTTACTATATTCCTTTAGAGTCTTAGGTAATTTGCTGGAAAACGAACAGTTGTTCTGGTGTGACCTGCTTAAGTTAAAAAAAAAGTTGTAGTGTCATCAGAGCTGTAAAATTTTTACCTTTCATTTTTCTCCCACCCTGTACAGATTTAGCATGGCATTTTAAATATTGATGTCCTTGTTCCCAGCATGCCTGTTTCAAAACAAAGAATTTTAAAAAGGTGTCTACATTAAATTATGAACCTAGTCCAAATAATATTTTCTCATTAAAATATGTAAATTCAAATTTTAGTTTCGCGTGTTTTTGAAGAGTTGCTGCAAATAACAGATGTAGTGCTTCTTTAAGCATGCATTCTGCAACACATTGTCTGAGTAGTTTGTGGTTCATATCTTATTTGTAAAACAGGTTCAAACCTCGTATTCACTTTCAGATTGCGGAAGAAATTATTTGTCTCTTGAAGCAGAGGAAAACAGGAAACAAACTATTTCTAGTATAGATCAGGTATACAGGTGTAGTGTTGAAAGAAAAACTGAGAAAGTACAGTACTTATATATGTAATTTTGTCAATCTCAAAATATATCTTAGAAACCATACAGTGCTTAGAGTAATGTAAGGCTTAGTAGAAATCAGGTAGAGATACATGGAGATACAAAAAGGAAAAACAGACTTGTTTACTCAGTGCTTATAATCTGATGCATGTTATTTGGAGGGAGTATTCAGTTCCTTGTTCCTTTAAATTACCGCAGTTGTTGAGATCTTTTTAAGAAGTTACCTAAAAGCTTGTCTTGCATGTCAAGAGACCTGTTTACTTTCAAGAGACCTGTTTACTTTCACAGATCTCTTTTTACTCTTCCATGTGGGAAAATAATGCTTGATGCATTTATTTTAAAGAAGTGGATTAAGTTCACTTCAAATACTTGACTCTAGGTATTTCCTTTTCTTCAGATTTTTGCAGAGAATTAAAATCTGCCAAGAATTTATGGCTCAAGGCCAATTGAAACTTTATTGAAGAGGTCACAGTATTTCCAGAGCGAGGTATATATTCAACTAGTGAAGCTATAAGAAGACAAAGAAAAATATAAATGGTGATTAACACTTTACTGTTTAAAATGATTAAACAAGAGCCCCTTGTGCAACACAGAGAAACCCACATAGAAATCATGATCACTATACTCCACAGGAGAAGGCTTAGCACCTGTGACCCTTACATATTTAGAGGGGTATACAAAAAAAAATTAGGATGGTCGCAAAGGGTAATTAATCCTGTTGTGACCATTTTTTAAAAGCAAGGATCCCACACACAGCCAAAAAAAAAAAAAGGTGGAAAATAAATGAATCATTGGACTGATTAAAATGCATGAAGCTACTAAAGCTCGTCAGACAGGGGACAACTAAACTCATTCATCAAGACCAATTCACAATTATATCAACAAGATCAGCTAAAGAAAGCTTGGAAAACTTATCCACCCCAGGCTAGGAAAGTCCTGAAACTTTGTTTTTAACAAGAAATTATCTACGTTTTTAAAAATTTAATTCAGTTTAATCATTTCCTGCAAAATAAAATTAAAGCCATCTCTGGAACACTCTAATCTCATCAAATTACTAACACTGAATTTGAACTGAGATGGATGAAGCATAAAGAGCTATCATGGGCCTAAAACATTTTATAAATGATCATCTTACGTAGGTAAAATATTCTTCCTATAGAAGCAGCAGAATTCAGAGAAAAGAGACATGTACATACATACATTTAATAAATGGAGGTAAAGGAGATGCAGATCCTATTCCTGATTTTTAGCAAAGGAGTGATTTCAACTCAGTATTTGAAAATGTTCTTTTCAGCTGGTAAGTTCGTCATGGTGTTTTGCAAAGAATGAAATAACTTGGTCATTGTGAGCCCTCCTTTCACAACTGCAGGCATCTTTTCTCAGACCAAGTTGAATGAGTAAAGTAAAAAAATCTATTGGTGATATTTTGACCTTGATCAGAAATCCAAAAGCAGCCCAGGCACACATGCCTCCACCCCAGTCCATCATGAGCTTTGAGACTTACACCCTGTTTAGCTGAAGTGCCCCACAAATAAGGAAGTTTATAACTACCATACCTTCAATAGCTTTCTTTGTCATGTTAAATCTTTTCACCTGGCTGAAGTCCAAAGTCAATACACACAGCTTTAAAATAAGACTGGAAGAGACAACGTCATGCAGTGAGGTGTATGGTCAGGGTCTTATCCTGGGAATCCAGTTAAGTTATATTATTTTCTATTTTGTAAATTTGGGCAATATTGGTTTTTTTAACTTAGGTTTTTGATTTGCAAACTTGGCTATTCTGTTCCTTTTGGTTAACAAGATTCTGCACTTAACTAAGTTTTTAAATGGTTTTCTCTGTGATTTGGGAAATGCTTACACAATGGATAAGTTTTGTGTGCTTTCTCAGAGAAGCGGCAGAAGTTTTCACTGCTCCGGTTGCCTGGGTTTGGAGGTCATGAGAAGCCTGAAGACCAGCAGGAGTGGTGTGGTGCTAACAAACGATCCTCAGAATGGCTTAAATATTATAGCAGTGAATTTAATTCCTTTGAAATAGATGAGAACATTGAGTGTCCTAAAAGCATAAATCTGGCCAGGTGCTCAAGTGGGGTGAAGATGGGAGGTGGGAGGGAGGACGAACCCAGAGCTGCTGCTGCTGCAAACAGAAGGTTTTACCTTAGTTGATGCAAGGTTTGGGAGGTGGTGAGGGATGGCTTATACTTTTACAACTGGAAACTCCCTTTGGAAAAGGTATCCATTTAGGAATCAGAAAGGATCAGGATCTGTTCCTAAACTCAATGTAAATGTCAATTAATTTTTTTTTTCCTCTTAAAGCCACGTAGGGACAGAGACACCCAAACAAAAACAAAACAAAAACAACGCAACCCACCAGCTGTGAAGCCTCAAAGGGGATGCATTTGTTTCGTTTAAACTAACAACAAATTATCTAATTAATATGTTTCAATTACAGCATGAAAGGCACAGCCCCTGGACCGCCTGCAGTGGGGGCACAATAGCCCCAGGGCCCACTCTAGGAATTTACAATAACTTCACATCTGTTTCTTTATTTTCCACTTTTTGAGTCTAAAACTCCTCTCAAGATCACTTCAAACCACAGCCTGAGTTATGAAATATGTCCCGGTGTTAAAGGGGGATGAAACTTTGCCCACGGATGCTTCATTTGCAAGCAAAAAAAGTGAAAGCCCATTGAAGAGCATTAAACAAATATATTAGAATTCTGTCACTTTATGCAATTGAGTAGATCAAATGAAGGGTCCCGGCCACTTCATTCACTCTCATTCACTCGAATAGAAAATGCAAAGAATAGCAACCCGAGACTGGGCCACCGATGTAGATTTAGCTCCTTTCTACTGGGAGACAAAAAGGCTGAATTTTCACAAACACATTGCTGACTCGGGGACTAGGAAACCGGCACTGGAACCCCTTTGGAATTTAAATTCATTTTATCTTCCTCTCTCTTTGCGGGGATCTGTTTGCACTACAGTGCAAGATGCAGCAGGCACCCTCTGGCTTCTGAAAAAATGGGGGAGGGGACAAGAGTGAGTGGGGGTGGCAATGTGGGCCTTAGGAGTCCCAAGGAATTCTTGTTGGTCAACACTCAGGCCTGAGATAGTTAACTTTGATTTAAATACATTTTTATCTATATCAATATAAACATCCCTATATTACACACTCTCCAAGTCTCTTACCCCCTTGCTTGACATGGATTACATAAACAGCTCGTTTTCAAAAAACAGAAGCACATTTGGGTCATCCTGTTTTCTTCCTGCGACTAAAATCTGGCCATTAGCGTCACAACAGGCAGGAAAGCTGAGCTTTCAAGCTCACCTGCTCAAAACTGTCTCTCTCTCTCTCTCTCCCTCTCTCTTTCATCCTGTCTCTACCTCTGTCTCTGTCTGTTTCTCCCCCTCACACACACACACACACACACACACACACACACACACACCACTTTCTGATACTACCCTATCTGAGCACGGTGATGGTACACTTATATAAAAACTAGGAGAGGAGATCCTACTACTCTGGTTAGAATTTCCAAGTCAGAATCTTCTTACATTTTCACTTGCCATTCTCAGGGTGGGGAATACAAGCCACATGTGTCAGTGGGAATTGAGATAATCTGGTGGCAATAATTCTGTCCTGTCTTTGA